AAAGAGTTATTGAGCTGCACAAGTGTCCTGCTATATCGCTTCGAGTGTTCTTGACATGTTCAACATTTGTAAACCTTTTAAGCGCAACTGCAACAATGAAGAATGCTGTTCTACCGCAAAGTGGAATACCATTTGCAGCCATATAGACCGCAGACGCGTATTTCTAGTCGCAAGAAACAAGTGCGTCGACCAAACCCGTCCCGCCTGAGCGCCTTTCTCTCTGAGCAGCGGGACATGGTAGGCACAGGCGGGGTCACTCCAGCCCTGCTGCAGCCGCCAGCGACCATCAATGTAGGGCATGTCTTTGAGATGAGCTGCCCTAGTGTACTGTGTTGCAACCTCTACTTACATTCTACAGCACAACGTAAGATCAACGTAGCCAGCTGGCATTCCTAAGATGGCGAGACATCGGTACACAGTAGGGGCTGAGTGCAACTATTTCATCCAGGGAGTGTTAGAAATTTCTCATGCACTCATCCCACTGTTGTTTTATTAGGTTTTATAAATAAGCATAGCAGTTGGACAAGTAAAATTTCACGACGGTTACTTGGTGTTAGTTTATTATTGATTTATTTGCGAATTATGTTGCACTCAAAAATGAAAAAAAAACTTGCGTGCTCAAGAAGGAACGTTATTGTATATGAAGCTCCTTACATCAAACAGGATGAAGCTTGCCAGCGAAATTTTGATTCACTATTCGTAACAGGTATTTTCCATGGCATCCGAACTCGGATATCTACTAAATTTTCTGTGTCCAGTGAATGTAACTTAAAAAAACTAATTACACAATGCACCACTTTTAATTCTAGATAATTTAACAGACTTTTCTTTTTCCTGATGATGATTAAAAAGTTTTTCATGGCTATCACGATATATTTTTTTCATTCTTCATTAATAAATGCGAGAAAGACTGTTGTTCACCGAACTCAAACGAGGATTATGTCATTAGCCTAGCCTTTACACATCGTACAACTCAGCGTTCATCCCACGCCCAGGAATGGAAACAAGAACTCTGCAGACGACACCCCGAAAAAGTTCATCCCGTTCCCAGGAATGGGAACAATAACTCCTGCAGACGACACCCCGAAAAAGTTCATCTCGTACCCAGGAATAGGAACAAGAACTCCTGCAGAGAACACCCCGAAAAAGTTCATCCCACACCCAGGAATGGGAACAAGAACTGCTGCAGATGACACCCCGAAAAAGTTCATCCCGTACCCAGGAATGGGAACAAGAACTCCTGCAGACGAAACCCCGAAAAAGTTCATCCCACACCCAGGAATGGGAACAAGAACTCCTGCAGACGACACCCCGAAAAAGTTCATCCCACGCCCAGGAATGGGAACAAGAAGTCCTGCAGACGACACCCCGAAAAAGTTGGCCCCCAAAACTCGTTCCAACTCTTATAAAAAACTAGCGCATTTTTTCATCTGAGATCGAGCGAAGACACAAAAAATTTTGGGCGGTAGAATTTTTATAATTTTTTTTTACTTTTTAGGTTGTCAAAGAGATCTTATGATTAAGTTGTTACCGTGCACGTTGTCCACTTCAGAGACTTAATTAAACAGTGGAAGCTATTTTGCCTATTAAGGTAATTGAAATAAAAGTTTTCTAGTAAAACCATATTCAATGATAGGTACAGTAAACAATTGGGGAAAACAGGTGGTATTGGACAGTGCATGAATTCAGACAGCAGTGCAGTCAGTACCGGCAATTAGGGTTAGGAATGCTGGGCCAAACTTTAGGTTATAGGGAGCACAGGGTAGGAGTGATACTGCAAGATATAAGGAACATAAATAACCTTAATACCTCTAGTGCTAATTGAAGAATTCACAAGGCAAATAATTTAATGTCCCAAACCAATGCCAGAATGTAATCAAAATTTTTTTTATGACTAAAATGCTTTAAAACTGCCACCGTCAACAAGAAATAATCATTTAATTCAAACAAGAAATTTACTTAAATAATCAAGATAAGCTTGGATAAACTAAAACGCAGGGATTAATAAAAAACCATGAACCGTATTAATTAGCATTAGGAGCAGGAGAAATAACAGTTACGCAAGAACTATAAGAAATGCACTAATAATCACCAACAGATTGTATAGAAAATATGGGTCTAATTTAAGAGAGCAGACTTACGAAGATTTGCAATTCCAGGCAACTTCCACACGGAGTGTCAGTGGCTGCTCTAGATGCTAAATGACGGAACTGATCTGAACTCAACTGTCATTAGTGTGGAAAAATACTCTGAACAAAAATGAAAAAAGGATGTAATCGAAAGTACAAAAATGAAAAAAGGAAGTAATTCAATTGAATCAAAAGTTCCTGAAAAATAATGAATTAAAACGCAGATTGGTCGAATGATAATAAGGGTAGATGCCTTCCGGTAAAAAGTCTTATAGGTTTATGCTTAGTTATATTGAAAAATAATTTTGATTTTTTAATTTATTTGATTTGAGTTTAGTTAGTCGTGCTAAAATTGTTTAATATGTTTTCTGTTGATTCAAGCAATTTTAGTACATTAGTGACTAAAATTTAACATTGTAATTAAATTTTTAACAAGCATTTTAATCATCACAGCAGGCACAATGAAACTTGCCTTCTTAATTTATATTTAAATTGGTCGCGAATAAAGAAACCATTTTGTTGTTCAGAACCAAAAATATTAATCGTCTTTTAGATTATAGTTTAAAAAATGAAAAACGAAATTCCATTTCTTGTCTTCACATCTAAAAATATATTGCTTTCCTTTCTCCACGCACGAGGCGTGTCGCAAGTTCAGCCTGCTAACCTTTTGCTGGCCGAATGAAGTAGTTCATCCAACACGCAATACTACATCCACCATCAGCGGAAGTGGGTCATCCATCACGCAATACTACATCCACCTTCAGCGGAAGTAGTTCATCCAACACGCAATACTACATCCACCTTCAGCGGAAGTGGGTCATCCAACACACAATACTACATCCACCTTCAGTGGAAGTCGGTCATACGACACGCAATACTACATCCACTTTCAGTGAGAAGCTTATCATCCAACACGCAATCCTACATCCATTTAAAGAGGAACTGGGTCATCCAACACGCAATACTACAATCACTGGCAGAAGTGGAAGAAGGCAACCGTAAAAAACAATGTTATAAGGGTTATATTATAATTAAATTTTTATAACAGTAATTAAAATTAATTTTAAACATGCAACATGCTTCGAGCATTTGTAGTCTCTCAGATCGAAGGGGAACTCAGTGACTGGAACAGGTTTTGGAATTAAAGTCAACCTAGCATCATGGATTCAGGATGGAGTGAGATTGATGCAGGAAGATCCATGATTTAGTAAAATGTTTGGAAACAAAATACTGTATTACTGTGTGTTTCAAAATGATTTGGAAATTGAATTCAAGGAAATAAATGCCTTTTAATAAATAGTAACTAAACAACCTATGTTACACGATTATGGCGTTCTTATTACAAAACTCTTGCTTCTCCTGTAGCGAGAGAAAGAGCAATCCCCGTTGCACAATGTCGCATTCCTGTTGACCTAGGGTGAACATGGGTCTTGCGATCTATTCATATTTCCATACAGCCATTAAATAATGCATATTAATGTAGCTGTGGTGCAATCACTTCCATAATAATGCATGGATATATGCGAGAACTTTTCCTAGCCACTCTACCCGCGCAGGGCAGTGCAGAAATAAAATCACACTTTGCTCTTTTAGTGTGAATAAAGTGCGCGTTGCTACACAACTTGTGTACTTACTACACAATTTGTGTACTTTGCTACACAACTTGTCTGTACACAACTTGTGCACAGAAATATAGTGCATTCTTTCCTAAATTCCTATTTAATGTAAAAGTGGAAAAGCGTGATCTAAATTCCGTCATGTCAAAAACACAGATGATCGTATGAAAATCATTTTCTTTATAAATCACTTTGTAATACCTACTTTTTACGATTTCATACACACTTTATCAAATCATGAGGTTTAGAACTGTAAATAGTCATTCTTTAAATTAAAATAATTGAACATAACTAAATCGGGAGGAAAATTTTAAGCATAATGAATCGATTAAGAGAATTAAATTGTGTCAGATTTAAAATTGTTTGAAGAAAACCTACCATAAAAACCCCGGATTTGACTGAGCATAAGAATTTGCATTAGAAACAAAGTTAATGAAGGGAAAATGAATCATTCGTGAATCGGATAAGCTTACAGGGGATACCAAATTCTTTAGCGTTTCATCTAAGTGAAAAATTTCCTTATTATTCAATTTGATATTACTAATATCAACGAATATAATAATATTCGTAATATGTTAAAATAATATGACAAAAATGATTGTTCATATGAGAGTTTAGGAATAATTTTGACCTTGACAGTCTAGCGCACTCAATCATTCATTCAATTGCATATTTCAATCGGAAGCGGAAGTGCCACCCTATAGACAGAATCCGCAAAACGTTGCTTCATTGGAATAAGAAAAAGGTATCCGACTTGATGGGTATTTTACAGACTTAATGAATTAGTACTATGGACCTGGTGGCCCAGGGTGACATCCACCAGATGAGCGAAAAATGTGATTTGTGCTTCACTTTTGGGCTAAACTTGACGTGTTCCTTGATGAACCTGCCATGTATCTCATTCATTTATGTATCTTTGAATTGGATAGAAATTCATTTCCATACGAGTATTCTTACACTAGTTCTACTTGTGAAGATTTTCATTTTTTATCTGTTCAATTCGGACGGGGTATAATTTTTGACCGTGCAATTCACGATTATAAAGAAATTTGAACGAAACTAATTTAAATACAATTATTTTTACGTTTTGAAGATGCACGCTGCTCTGATAAGCAGCACTTGACTACCAGAGTTGTTTTTACTCTTAATTGTAGGACCTCACTAGCTCATGTGTTCAAAATGAGAAGAAAAATGGATCAAACAATCAAAAAATCTTTAATAAATAACAATGTTCTTAGCTTAAAGGAATAAACATGAACAAAAATAAACTCGCTACCTGAATTTTAGGTGAGGTGAACAACGTTAAAAAAAAGTTCACCTGGCAACTGAGAGAAATTAAAATTTTACAATTATAAGTAAAAAGTTCGAACCTTGATTTTGATAAGAAATTATGTAATATTCGCGTATCTTTCAGATGCTCCTCGATTTTAACTATGAATCGTTCGTTGCGTTCCAAAGACATAAAACATCACTTGCGCAGTTCATTGAAAATATTTCGGATGCTTAATGCTAGTAGCTGAGAACTTCGACTTCTGACACTTTCTCGCGACCAAATAAGCGGTTGAGTTGAGCACCGGCATACATGGATGTACATTCCTCACCAATAGCCACCGCCACCACCGTAACCTCCACCACCTCCGTAACCGCCACCTCCTCCATAACCTCCTCCATGTCCCCCACCGTAGGGCACCGCAATGAGTTTATACGTTTGTCCATATCCACCACCATATCCTCCGCCACCTCCTTTCTTCTTACCACCGCCACCGCCTCCTTTCTTTCCACCACCACCACCATATCCTCCTCCCCCGTATCCCCCGAAGAAGTCTTTCATCTTCTTGCCAAAACCACCGCCTCCTTTCTTTCCACCCCCTTCGCTTTGGATGATGATTATGGTAGGTGGTGCCTTTTTGCCGTAACCTCCATGACCTCCACCATATCCACCACCGTGCCCTCCACCATATCCGCCACCATGTCCTCCACCATAGCCTCCTCCGTGACTGATACCATATCCTCCACCACCATGGCCTCCGCCAAAGCCTCCACCGTGGCCACCATCACCATAACCACCACCATGACCTATATCAAATCCACCACCATATCCGATATCATGACCTCCTCCGTATCCTCCTCCATGTCCACCACCGTGGCCTCCGTAGCTGATACTCTCAGCTCCGATGTATCCTCCTCCTCCGTCGCCGATGCCGGATCCTATGATGTGGCCTCCACCGTATCCACCACCGCCGTGGCTGCCGAGGCTAACTTGGCTGAAGGTGTCGTGGCCTGAGGAGTAACTGCTGTGGCCGATATCGTGGTGACCACCGCCGTGGTGGCCGATATCGTGGTGACCTCCGCCATGGTGGCCGCCGCCATGGTGACCGCCGCCTTTGTCGGGTGAGGGGACGGCGAGGGCCAACGCAAGCGTCGCTGTCAGAATTGTTATCTGAGGGTAAAACGAGGGAGAAGGTATTAGCTGAGGATGAAATTAGAGTGAGGGCGTTACCTGACGGTAAAATAAGAGTGAGGGCGTTATATGTGAGTGAAATATGAACAAGGGTATTATCTGAGGGTGAAATAAGAGTAAGGGTATTGTCTGAGGGTGAAATAATAGTAAGGGTGTTATCTGCGGGTATAATGCGACTATAAGAGTGTTTTTTACATGCATCACATTACATATTTGTATCCAGTTTTGTCTGACATTTATATTTGTACATGCGACCCTACGTCGTAAGAGCAATACGACATGGTGAGCATTTGTAGCAGCCTCAATGAGTGATAGTTACAAAATAGCAAATATAAAAACATTAATTTAATTTGTAGAATAGGAATGGCATGTACAATGTTACTCACGTGCAGCATAAGAAATGTATTCAAACTATTACAAATGAGAAAGATCGAATAATTGCATACAAACTATTCCTAAAATGCTGGATCGTAAATACAAATGCAGTTTTCCCGATAGGTGCATATTATCAATCGCTTCAAAAAAGACCAAGAAAGTAACTTGATAACCTAATTCTTAGCGAAGCAAATATTGCTTAATATGATTACAACTAATTAATTATAATTATTTTATTTGAAACTCCTGTCAGAAATACAAGTTGATATTGTGTCATGTTGGGGCAGTTTTGAATTCCTCGACATGCCTCCCCGTTGACCAGACGCAGGGTCGCAAAATTAATTCGCAGTGTTCGGTGTGGCACTCGGATTATCCTTGCAGATAAATAAAATTTATTCGATCTTCTTATGTTACCTCGCATCGCATTCATTAAGAAGTAAGAGCAATTCCAGCAGTAAGCATGTCCAATGCATCAAAGGAAAATTGGTGAGCAAAACATTTGCTCGCAAAATTGGACACGATTTAGACAGGAACATTTAATCCAGTAATTAATTCACTCCGAAACTACAAAATATATTTTTACTAGTTATAGAGTCTAGAATTATAACAGTATGTTTTTCCAGAAGGTAAATAATCTTGAGTCATTGAATAGCAGATAATATTTTAGGTTTTCGCGTGCTTAGGTGAGACGAATGTAAGGCTCTTCTTAAGACGAGTAAGAAACTTTCCGAACTGATGACTGAATTATCTACGAGTAAGCTTCTAATCTTATTTTTAGCAAATGAAAAATTTCGTCAATTTGTAGAATTCAACATGCCTCAAAGTTGGTGAACGGTTAATTTGTTTTTCAATAAATGATAAAAAAATCGTTCGATGCTAAAGACGTCAGTATGCTTGAAAGATTTTGTCGGTTCAGGCACTAAAATTGAATGACCAGGTCAGAATTAGTTGAAAGTTATGATATAGACATTAAATAGGTAAATAGTTGAAAATTTATTATTAATTTATAATTAATATCCAAATTTCCCTGGTGGTTTGTCGGAAATGCTCGAAATTTGATCGCAAAACGAAGTTTGTTAAATCAAACAAGTTATTCCAATTCATTACATACTAATTAATTTACGCAAAAACTTTCACCGAGAGTATTAATATAGGTCATTTTCTTCGCGATAATTTCGTCTAGACATAATTTGGGGTTATGCTGAAAATGAACGACCATTATCCGGCTTTGGAAATGAAAGTGCTCTCTCTTGCGAGTGAAACATAAGATGTCCACAGCCGCGGGCGACAAAACTGGAATATGCGTGTAAAATGTTATCGACATGGAAAGGCAATCTTTTGAGAATATTAAAACATAGTCTTGAAGGCTGATTATCATGCCTCTGCAATAAAATAAATGTATTTATGAATTGAAAGATTCAAGAAAATGTTAGAATATTTCGCTTGGGTGCACAAAGGGTCCTCAGTTTGGAAAAATGCGAGTATAAATGCAATCTCAAAAACTTGCTCATCCTTTAAGGTAGGAAATGCGTAACTTTCGCGAGGCCTTTCGCCGAAAGAGACCTGTTAGATGAGAAGAAATTAAGAAAGAGATGGGCTCCTAAACTGATAGCCTGCCTAGCGGTCCCCTCTGAACTGAGCTCAGGGCAGTTTTGGTTTCCCTTTCTCTGCCGCGTTCGCAAGATGAGCAAGTCGAGCAAAAACTGCCCGCCCAGCCTTCGGCCACATGCGCACCTTCGAAGGTCTTGGTTCAACTTTCGCCAGCTGCTTCTTTCACTCAGTGCAGGCAAAGGGTCGGCCGGACTCTTATTTTTTTAGAACAAAATGAAGTAATACTTAAATTGATAAGCCGTCACTTCAATGTGCTAAAGTATTTAAATTAGGAAAAGGTAAGTAAATCACGAATATTCTATATAGTGAAGCATTTCCGTTGAATTTTGTAATTATTAAAAAAAAATATCCCCGATACCTAATTCAACGGTGGAATTTGATGCAATACAGATTTTCGGAGATTTCTATTGAAACTAAGTACGGATAAAAAATTTAAGATAAAATTTTTGAATTCTCTCATTCATCATTTGACTGACATTGCACGGCTATAGCGATAAATATTCAGATTATCCATTGAAAATGTTTCGAAAAAGTTAGTTGCATTGAAAAATCAAAATTATTTACTTTCCTTGAGTGGTAATTTTTACGCAAATTTGTACAAATGAATGAATTATTGAAACTTAAATTAATTTCTATTATGAATCACAAGAGTATAATACTGAAACAATCAAAACTGAATCAGTTTCACTTGTAACATTCTCTTTTATATGGAAAATCGAGGCAGTGTCTTGATTTTTATATTGAGAGAAAAGTCATCGGGACCGGGCACTCTCTAAATTAGTAGGATTCATATTACAAGTCATATGCTACGATGCATTACAGTGGCTGATTTATGCCTGTCCTTATTTTATGCAGCTCTGCCTGTGCACTGATATATACTAAGCCACATGTTCTGGCCTCATCACGCACTGAAGGGCCACATCTATACTTACCGTATGCGCTGCCATTGTGGCAGTCCTCCTCTCTATACACCGGCTAACACGAGGAGCTGCGAAGAACAGACGTAAACCTCCAGCCGCCCGTGTACTTTTATACACAGCGTTTGCCAGCGCATTTACTGAACACGAGGGGTGGCCTGCTGCCGCCTGGGGCGAGACTGCGGTACAATTCGCGTGCGGTTTGGGAGTACGTGTGTACAGTGTGCTCGTTGGTTGAGGATAATTGCTGAACGACTGCAAGTTTCCAGCGATGTGTCAAAGATCGCCTGAATGGCGAAGCTATGCTGCTCCCTATCTAGATTGAAAGCAAGCTCTTTCGAAAACTAGCGTGTGTTTCCGGACGTCAAATCGCAACGAAAATGTCTAAGCAGAAAGTGCAGGTACGGTCGTTCTCATAACGTTTTGTATTCGTCACGCTGAGCGACTGTTACAAATGGTGCTGAAAAGCATGCGACGATATTTTTTGTGACTCGCAAAGTTTATATTTCATCTTAATTAACTTTCATATTAGGCCTTAATTTATTTTTAATATTTAATTTAACAATTAAACGAGAAACGAATCAATTTCTCAAATATGTGATCAGTTTTATTGATTTTTTGTCTTCAACTTGTACACTGTCCCTGTCACGTCATGTCATTACCCGTATTTAAGATAACAACTTAATTTCTGCTAATGTTATTAAAGAATTTTATTCGTGAAGCTTTTATAAATTATATAGCAAATTTGTTGTAAAGCTTATCGATTCAACTTGAAATAATTCACCTCTCACAACGAGATTCTCGAAAATTTTGTGCATTGAAGGATTTCGTGCACCAATGCTGGAGCATTCGAATTGAACTGTAAATAATAAATTCAATGTAAATTATCCAATTTTTGAAGGGAATAAACGACTGACGATAAATTTCACTCTGTAAATAAGTTTGAGTGTCAGGTGGCAAATTGATCAGTTTCTTAGATAGAAGCATTAATTTGCAGCACCAGAGTACAGAAATAATTGTAAATAACTTATCAATACAACGCTGAAATGTCTGCCGCAATCAAATTTCAAGTCTGAAATGTTACAGTAATAAAGATGTTGCGTGGCGTTCGCTGTGCGGCTCTCTCATGTCGACCGTGGGATTATCCACCAACATGACTTGGCGCAGGTTAAGTACGTTGTGTTACAACTTTAAGTAATTATATTATTAATTGGTCAAACGTACACATTTTTCTGTTCATTATCTGTTTCAATTGAAGCAACATTAGCGTAACGTAAATCAGAAAAAATTATGATTAGCAATAAGAATGGTTTTGAACTTCCTCAAAGAAAATGATTTTATGTCTTGTTCAATATTGAATTCAAAATATTAAATTATTTAAGAATAATTTGTAGAAGTTTGTTTGCGTGTTTGATGCCTGGCACTGCATATATATTTAAAGGATATTCCAGCGCGTATTTATCCGGGACAATAATAATATTGGGGAACTATCTGCATTTACTTGAAAATGTATTCGTATTGGGAGAATAGCAAGGCATTGCAGAATTAGAAGGAAAAGATTGGTTCAGAAATAAAAATAAGATTTTCAAATTGTTCATATGAATAAATTGAAATGGCGCAAAATTGTCTTTTTCGAAATGAAAGTTATTTGGCCGTTCTATGTTCTTTGTAGAATGTGCGTTTGAACGGGGCTCTCCTTAATTTGCAAACATCATGTTTGCTGTTATCTGCGCGATTCGGAATAACTTGATTATAAAATTATAGGGATAATCGACTCCAGTCAACGCAGGGCTAACCTGCTTGTTGTAATGACATTACAAAGAGAAAAAAATATTATAACATTTGGTACAATGAATATTGGTCATTTGTTTCACTATACGGTGGCATTAGACCATTGCCTGCGTTAGACCATTGTCGACGTTAGACCATTGTCGACGTTAGACCATTGTCGACGTTAGACCATTGCCTGCGTTAGACCATTGTCGACGTTATACCATTGTCGACGTTAGACCATTGTCTGCGTTAGACCATTGTCGACGTTAGACCATTGTCGACGTTAGACCATTGTCGACGTTAGACCATTGTCGACGTTAGACCATTTTCGATGTTAAGCCATAGTCGACGTTAGACCATTGTCGACGTCAGAACATTGTCGCCTTAGACCATTGTCGACGTTATACCATTGTCGACGTTAGACCATTGTCGACGTTAGACCATTGTCGACGTTAGACCATTTTCGATGTTAAGCCATAGTCGACGTTAGACCATTGTCGGCGTCAGAACATTGTCGCCTTAGACCATTGTCGACGTTATACCATTGTCGACGTTAGACCATTGTCGACGTTAGACTATTTTCGCCGTTAAGCCATAGTCGACGTTAGACCATTATCCACGTCATAACATTGTCGACTTATACCATTGTCGACGTTAGACCATTGTCGACGTTAGACCATTGTCAGTCGACGTTATACCATTGTCGACGTTATACCATTGTCGACGTTAGACCATTGTCGACGTTAGACCATTGTCAACGTTAGACCATTGTCGACGTTAGACCATTGTCGACGTTAGACCATTGTCGACGTTATACCATTGTCGACGTTAGACCATTGTCGACGTTATACCATTGTCGACGTTATACCATTGTCGACGTTAGACCATTGTCGACGTTAGACCATCGTCAACGTTATACCATTGTCGACGTTAGACCATTGTCGACGTTATACCATTGTCGACGTTAGACCATTGTCGGCGTTATACCATTGTCGACGTCAGAACATTGTCGACTTATACCATTGTCGACGTTAGACCATTGTCGACTTTTAACCATTGTTGGCGTCAAATCATTGTCGCAGTTGTCATAGAATTTATTTAACAGTTAATGTGCGTCACAGAGTCTATTTCATATGCCACACGAAGTGGAATTAAAGGATTAATATGATACGACCCATTTCTAGCGATGTCATTTGAGCATTTCTAGTTTTTCGAGTGGGCAAGATTCGCGGAAAGTGTAAAAAAATGTACGGAATAAAATGCCATAAAATCTGTCACGACTTGATGCCAGGCTTGACAAACGTCTATGGTCTGCACACTATTGCACTCCTGGCGCTTTTTCCCTTTCCTCATGTCATGCTGAATTACTTTCACCCAATTCTTCATTTAAATCTAAGTCACTCCATGACTGATGTGCGAAATTCATTGGTTCAGGAAAGGAAATACAACCTGCTGAGTAATAATTTTCTTAGGATGACCATTTTATTGTAGATTCTTAAATGTGTTTACCCAGCCTTTTGAGTTTGAAATTTGATGGCATAACAGCGTCAGCTGAATGAGTCTTCGCAAGCTCATTTCTTCTATAATGATCGTATACATAACGATATGAATCATAGCATTTCGCTAACTGTCAACGAGTAAGTATGAATTTACATGTCATCTATACTATATGTATTTTAAAGCTTAATATAATAGCCCTACGATTTTATAAATGAATATTAATTTAGTTAACCTACTTTAGTTACGGGAAGCACCGCGTCATATACGCATTGTATGTGAACATCTGAAGTGGTTTTGTGGGTGACATACGTCGTGCAGAAACATCATCATGCGGGTAGTTCCTCATCAAGACGTGATATAGAAATAGTTCCGTAGTTTCTTATTTAAATGCGTCTTACTTTCACTCCAACTCCGGAAGACTTGTCTACTCAATCCAGAAGAATTATTTCGGAGCTTTGCTCAACACTCGGAATTCAACAATTCGGTCTCAAAACTTTGACATACAATTATCATATTAAGCAAATTTGAATGAAATTATAATTAAAGAAACAAGGCAGAAATGTCGCAAGGCTGGGAAATTTAAGCCTTTGAAGCACAAGATATAAAATTATTTATGAAGAATTTCAAGCGCACTGTTCAAGTAGCATAATGTGCACCAGCCTTGAATTCAATGTTGTGAAAAACTGTCGCCAAATTACAAACTTATTGTACTAGTCAAATAAGTACACATCGTGGTCACGGCATACCCAAATAATAATATACAACTCAATTCTAACCTCATGGCTAAGACTGCCAAAAATTGAAGAACACCGGTCCGTAATGTTCAAATATTCGATAGATTATTTGGTTTCCCGATTGATTTACCCATGTAGAAACGAGTTTTACGGCTGCGAAACAGCCGGCAGCCCAGAAAGCTGTTTAGGAATGACAAACCTGCACGGTAACACGCACACAAGAAATACAGTCTATACAAGAGAGAAAACTTGTCAGCGACGCACATATAAGTTCAGAATATTTTATTTATTTTATAATGACGATTAATTTCAACCGATGATTGAGATTTTTTCGTGGGAACACGCGTTTTTTGAGTAAATGATCAGCCGTGGGATTGGTGTCTGTATTGCAGAGCAGTGAGGTGGGAGCGTGGAAAGCTCCGTCGAGAAAGCCTTTCATGATGACTTCGCTAGACACAATCTTGCGTAACGATCGACCGAGGAGGCCGTGTTGCGCAGCCAAAGCTCGCGATGAAAGAGTACAACGTTCTGATAATTACGGAGCAAAATGAAACAAAGCGCCTAGTTATGCATGGACTCTGCCTTGCTGCGCGAAGAATGCAAGCATTCCATACTTCCGAGTTCCGGCTGCCGCATCGAAGCAGCTGCTTGGAGAGGAGCTGTGATGGTCTAACAGGTGGTGTTCTGCATAGAAATGTGGTGTGCATAACTTGTGCTAACTGCTAAAAATTCTAGCTAACCAGGTAATTACAAATTATCATGTATATCATGAAGATAAATGAATATGTGATGAGTTGACAATGGACCGATGAAAAATTTTAAGTTGTTCTCAATCCAGTTGTGTCTTCATTAATTTTTTCTTTTTGTCTTGACGCTGAAATTTGAATAATAATATATTTACACTAAAATTGCGGCAGGTTTTATGAGTTTATTAAAAAAAATCAGCGAATGTTAAGTTATTGACAATGCCTCATGATCACGCAATAATTGCTTAACTTAATCCTAGGCGCTCTCCGCCATTGAGCGAACTTCAAGAGACGATGAGAGTGCAAGAATGAGCCTGGGGCTTTTATTGTCCAGTAATCTGCGT